TCTCTCTCTCTCTCTCTCTCTCTCTCTCTCTCTCTCTCTCTCTCTCTCTCTCTCTCTCTCTCTCTCTCTCCCCCTCTTTTTTTCTCCTTCCCCTTGTCTCTTCTGTCTCTCTCCTGCTTCCCCTTTCGTTTATTTATTGATTTATTTATTCATGAGTTTTTGGTATTCCCTAAGATTGGTTCTCGTACGTCTGTTTATTTATGGTTAGTCGCATGTTGTGCTGTCCTGAATGGACACCTCTGATGAGCTAATCTGTGGCAAGATTAGCAAAAAACATGTTTAAGGATGATTGCCACCACCCTAGCCAGATGAGACCATACTTTCGTTCACCTACCCTATGTGTGGTATACTGGTGAGTGTGAATGGATGTTTTGAGAACCAATTAAGCTTTTTAAGGCGTGTTAGAATGTTTAGATCTCGGGGTCGCTTACCTCGTGTGCTTCTGCGTGATGGCTCCTCTGGTTAAGTATGCATGATTGTTGTCGATATTTGGTATGGGGATCATGGCGGCGGTGGGGAGTCTGCTTGTGGTGTTTGCTTGTGTTCGGGTGGGGACAGGCTATGCTTCTTGCTGATAGGATTCGATCTATCAACGGGCGGTGATTGTGGTCGGAGCGCTGTGAAGAATAGCGGGTAATGAAGCATGGCAGCACACAGAGAGGGATGACAGTGGTGTGATGATGAGTTGACACGTTCGCTCTACTCTACGGAGGAGCAGAGATGGCGCTACGGGTGATAGTGATATGTGGTGTAGTCATAAGAAGTAGGGCACTACATGATGACACTGTTGGTGTATGAGAGGTGGAGGGATGTGATAAGGGTGCAGGGCAGATTGTGTCGGCCCACCTCGGGTTGTGAATTTTGGAATGTGTTTTCCCATGATAGGTGGAGTGGAGGCTCGGTGGTGTTTGCAGAAGCGATTCGACATGTCTCGATGGCGAGCCGTGAGCTAGGCGTCCAGTGTTTGGTGTGAATAATGTGGAGTTTGGTGTGGACCATGTGGCTATGCTTCTGAGCAGGGTTGTCAGGCGGGGGCCCCCGGGGGCAAAGCCGGGGTAGGGGTTTGACCCCCGGACCCCCGCCGCGGGGGTGCCCCACCCCCGCCCACCCCAAAACACCCCCGCTGCTGCCCC